GCCTTCGACCGTTGCTGTTGCATGACTCCTGTACGCCATTGCAGGTGCAGCAGTCCTCGTTTGGGGAGCGGTAACTCCCACAAAGGCCCATCTCTCAGCCAAGAGTTGACCAGCACACCAAGAGTCGAAGCTTAACAGCTTCATCACCATTATGAATAAAGTTCATTCCCTATGATATAGAGAACATCACTGAGATAAAGTGATTCACAGACAGGTGGATTCCTCCCCTTGTGGGTGGTAAAAGAAAAAAAAAAAAAAATCTGCTGCAGCCATCGAAACAACATCTGCATCGAGATCATCCCGGGCATCCGTTGCATCAGCCGAGTTGGCTTCAATGGCGCTTGTCAGCGAAGGAATGAGAGACGATAGAGGCGTCAATCCACAAATAGCTTGCCATCCACGATGTTAGCAGAGGACAAAAAGAGTCGATAGCCGCGACATCCTAAAAAATTGGTCATCAACGCTGTCAGCGAAGGGGCAGATTGGGAAGGTGATGACACCTGCTTGCCTGTGAGAGTTTGCTATCCACATTGTCAACAAGGTAACAAGGCATTCTTTATAAAGAAACAATATCTGTTTCCACACAGTAATTTATCTGTGTCACGAAAAGAGATTGTGGATATTTTCTTTTACCTCACACTATGGTTCTTGGCCACTTCTACTTAATGTCCTCTCCCAAGCCATGGTGAACCCTGCAGGCAATGCCACAAGGGGGGCTGCTAGTTAGCTGCCTTAAACTTGGGAGAATGGTTTGTGCTAGGGTTAGTATTTTCCCATGTTTGTTAGGTTATTGGGAAAATATTTTTAGGAAAAGTAATTTCTAGCACTTTCGTCTTCAATCATCATGGCCAAACCAAAAAAGAAAGCATTGTCGCAAGCCTCCACAGCCACCAGGACCTCCACCAGTTCATCAACAAAGGAAGGCACAGCAGATTCCATTAACGAGAATAACACCGCTTATCTGTAGAGATCATGGAAACACCTCAAAGTGCTCCAGACGCAGATGACCGTCACACCAAGCCAGCTCTCTCACTGGTGAACTCTTCGAGCTTCTATAGTACTGTTGGCCCTAGAGAAAGATATTCCTTCTCTCCAAGTCTCGACTAGAATTACTTCTAAGGGGGATTATGTACTCCAGCCCAAAAGACTCTGACACCTTTCAGATTCTTTGTAAGTTCTTAGCGACAATAAGACCGTAAACATCACACCTACACCCCACCTCCCATGAAGACAATCGTCCTAGGTTACCCACTCATTTCCCACTCGACCAACTTTGTGGCCACCCATTTATCGAGTCTGCCTCTTGCTTGATTGCTACCCCACTTAAGAAGAGACGAGGCAGGTACAAGTGACCATACTAGAAGACCCAGTTAAAGAAATAAACCTTGGTTTCTACAGCACATTTTCTCTCCGGGAACATTACCAAGAGCCCACACGCTGCAGCGAATATCAACGTTATGGTCATCATGTTGCCAAGTACAGAGGTCAGACACGCTGCAGAATCTGCTCTGAACCTCACCTCACGTATGTTTGCATTACAAAGTACAAAGAAGGCACACCTGCAACAGCAAAATGGCCAAACTGCCGTGAAAGACACCACATCTGGTACACTGGATGTCCCGAAAGACTTAAATGTCTCGCCTATCCTTCCGGTCAACCTATTCAAGTAGAGCAAAGAACACCGGGAGTATGTATGTGAAAACTTTACACCTGGAATAGGACATTAAGCACTGCCACAGCCAAATGCTCCCTGCCTAACTCAGCCACAAGTGCACGACCATCTCTCCCTGTCAAACCTAAATCCTCAGAAGTACAGCCTCATCACACTTGCATGTGCTCAAGTGTGGCATCCCCAACAATTCCACACAGTATGTAGAATTATTGGCAACAATACTGCAGATGGGACTATCTCCAGTAGGTAGACAGGCAGACCGAAGCCCAATTAAGGAGGTGATTTCCAACATTATTGTAAATGAAATACCCAGTACCTCGGTTCCCTCCTCCAAACAAACTGAAGAGACTCATGCTTCTATCGCGGTCAACACCACAACTAACTCTTCAACGATACTAGACAACTCTCTCCATACCACTCAGCAGTCCACATCCCTCGTCCCTCAGAATCACTAAGGTCCAACCCCAGTGCATTTCACAACCACTACTGAATCTGCATCATCTAATGGTACTTCACAAAGAAAGTGTTTTAGATCTCCAACTATTGACAATCAGGAAGATGAACCACTGTCAGACCAATATAATCAATCTCACAAAGACCTAAACACTACCTCTCAGCAGCCACCAATAGACAACTTCGACCTACACTTTCCACAACTTGGTACAGTAAGTTATTCGACCTCAAATGCTGGGTCCCCCCTGTCCTACACATACCAGAAAGTAATCCTATTACAGCTCATGGATACCAACATTACATTGATTCCGACAACACTTCAGACTCCAATGATGACTAATACCACTCCAGCAGAAAGGATTATTATCTTCCAATGGAATATCTATGGTCTGAAATCTGAATTACCCACCCTCACCTAAGCCCTAGCAAAGCAAAGTTACCATGTTGTTTTGCTCTAAGAGACTCTCCTAACATCTAACATCTCAATTTCAAATTATACAGGATACCTGCAATATTACTGTCAGGGCAGAAGCAGAAGGCTCAGCATTCTAGTATGGAAAGACCTACATGTTGAGCCCCTTCCCATCCGAAGGTCTTGTGGAAATGAAGTCGAATATATGGGTGTTACCATATCACTACAAAACACAACTTTGCAGGTCTGCAACATATATAGGCCCCCCAGAGATAATGCTTCACTCACATTGAGACATATTTGCTGTTGTCAGCAATTCCCCCTCCATCCTTGGTGGGGATTTCAATGCACACAGTCCTGCATGGAACTGGCCAACATCTCCATCTGCAAACAGATCATGCAGGTCTGGAACATACCTTGATAGAATGCTCCAGAACTTCCCACACTCAGCAATCCTAAGCAGACATGTACCCACCCACATCAAGGGAGGAGTACTCTACCTCACATTTGTCTCTTCTGCTCTCCTTCCACTTGTCAACTGGACTCTTCACCCTTACCTAACCTCTGATCATTATGCAACCACCATCACGGACATACCACCCCTACAGAAACCTCCCCTTGAACCCAGATGGAATTTCAGAAAAGCCAACTGGCATAAATTCACCAGCACTATGGAGGAATGGGCAGAGAGTTACACACCTTCAAATGACCTTGATACCAAAGAGGAGAGTTTCTGCCCTCCACCATGCTTATCGTCCGATATCCCTACTCTCATGCCTTAGTAAAGTAATGGAACAAGCAGTTCTGATAAGACTAAAACATTTAGGACCACACCCCAATAATCACATCTACGCCTACTGCAAATATATAATAATGATAATAATAATAATAATAATAATAAAGAGTTTATTAAGTAAAGTTTTAGTTACAAGGGTAAAATTGTTACTTTACAAAGTTATCATTTAAGTGTCTAATACAATAGGGAATAGTAGACATATAATATCTGGATGTATGACACTTTGGTTCACATAATTTGTTGTTAACATCCTCACGAAGCTGTCTGCTTGATTGACGCAAGTCGGGAAGCAGGTGCCGATATCTCGTAGATGTAAAGATGTTGTGTGCGAATTTTTCTGTTAGGTATTTTCTCCGGTCTTCTAAAGAGGGTATCTGCAGTTGGTTTAGTGCCTCTGTGTATATGGTGTAGTTTGACCCGAGAATGATACGTAATGCTCTTTTCTGAAGTCTTTCTAATTTTATTTTTTCAAAGTTGGTAATGGACGAATGCCAGACTGGTGCTGCATATTCACAGACTGGTCGAAGGAAAGTCGTCCATATGCGAAGGAGGTCTTCTTGGGATGCACCGAAAGATTTTAATTTGGTTAGCATAAAGAACTTTCTTCCACACTTTGAAATCAGTTTCTTGGTGTTGGCGAACCACTTTAAATCGTCACTGATAACTGTTCCCAATAGATTCACCTCTTTGGCCCGAGTTAAGAGTTCCTCGCCTATTTTTAGAGTACTACCACTGTCGGCTAATTTGTTAAATTTAAATTTTGTTTCTGTGCATTTCTTGGTGTTGACAGACATTTTGTTAGTTGAAGCCCACTCTGACACTTGCTTAAGGGCGTCTTGTAATAAAGTGTTTCCTTGCCCTGGTTGGTGTGCTAGTGCAAGTGTCATGTCGTCCACATATTTGTAGATCTTCACGTGCGGAATTTTGTCCTCATTTACCATTATCAGAAACAATAATGGGCCGAGGACCGTTCCTTGAGGGACACCGCAGTGAAGATCAATTTCATCGGATATTTGGTTGTTTGCACGAGTCCTCTGGGAGCGAAGGTTGATGAAGGAAGATATCCACTTCACCCAGCCCTCGTGGAAACCCAGAGAAATCATTTTCTTTAATGTGGTGTGGTCGATGAGATCAAATGCTTTCCTCAGGTCGATGGTGACGGTAGTGACCTCGAGTCTTTTGTCTACATTTGAAGTGATATAATTGATCAGGTCAACTAGGTAGAGGACTGTGGAGCTACCCTTGGTATTTCCAAATTGGCGATGATCTAATTTACTGCAAAGGAATGGGAACGAAGAACAAATTAGCAGCCATCCACAGTATTCTAGACGGAAATGCTACCATCATTGTTTTCCTTGACTAGGAAAAGGCTTTTGAGCTTATTCAACGAGATGTCATCAGCATACTCGCCTCTAAAGTTATCACTGGAAAGCTCTTAAGTTGGTCCAATGACTATCTCCTACAGAGAAAGGCAAGAGTGAGATTTCAAGGACATTTTTCTGCCATCCAAGTCTTTGAAAAGCAAACCCCACAGGGAGGAATTTCTCAGTCCTTTCCTATTTAATCAACTGATTGTAGAAGTTCTAACCATTCAGCTACCACCTCACACTCATCTCTTTGCATAAATGCTAGGGAGTCGTATTCAATGCTCAAAATGACTCATCCTC